TGCTGTGTCTCAGCGGCAGTGGGCTGACGCCTGTGGGCATGGCTCCTTGCCAGCTGCAAATAAAGGGGCAATTAGCAGACAGTGGACTCTGTAGGAGGGAGGCCAGGGCCGGCCAGGGTCAGCAGCAGGGACCGGCTTTGCCCCGAGCTGCTTTGCCCTCCCGCACCTGGGTTTCCCCACTCTGCTTCTGGTGCCTTTTCTTGGCTGCTGGGCACCAGGCAGGGGTCGACGGCCCCACAAGGGGTCAGGAGCAGGCAAGGTTCTGCCTGGACGCGTCCGCCCATGTCTGAGATAAAGTAGAGCAGGTCTCCAGCCAGCTTGCCTGGGAAGCTTGCTTGGGTGGGTTTTCGAGGGAGGACAGAGACATCAAGAAAAGAAGAAGCCCCCTCGCCTGCGCTCAAGCACTCAGGCCGGGGTTCCACGGCGGCCCCTCTGGCCTCAGGGCCAGGCCTGGCCGCCGCCCGCTGACCCCCGCCCCTTCCCACAAGGGCCTCCTTCACTCTCCCCGCGCAGATCCGGTGCTGACGGAGAAGTTCGGGCGCCAGGCTGCACCATGTGTGACCTCATAGACGGCGGGGTCACCACGCTTCCTGCCCCAGGCTGCTGGCGGGTCATCTCCGGGACCCTCTGTCTCCTGAACGGAGTCGCAGCAATGCGACTGCTCTGTGCTGTTCTTTGTTAATGAGATTGGAGGAGGAGCCCAGGGCGTCTGGCGTGAGCAGTCAGGAAGGGCCGCCAGGCCCGGAGCGTCCCTGGGCATCTGTGAAAACTCGCACTCTGGGTCGCCCACGAGTGTCCTCAGCCGCCGTCAGGTGGGAAGCATGGCCGGAGGTGGCCCGAGGCGGCCAGATCTCGCTGACTCCCGCAGACTCAGCGTGAGCCGTCACGGGCGCCTGCGCTAAGGTGCAGCGCTAGGGTCAGTCCTGGCCTTGGGAATTTGCAAGTGTGGGGTCCAGATGCGTCGTGGGGTGGACAGTGGGCGCCACGTGCCTGAGCCCATGACAGGCAGGGACCCAGAGCCAGCCTGTAGGCTGTGGAGGACCCAGCACTGCATTCCAGGGGGCCTGGAAGTCACCCTCCCTTCCATCCACGCTGATTCTCTGAGCTCCGCCAGGGGAGCCCAGGCCGGGCCCTGGGGGCAGGGGAGCCCAGACATGGCCCCTGCAGCCCTGAGGCAGGGCAGCCATGAGCAGGGGTTGGGGAGACATGTGGGTGCCCGTGAGGCAAGGACGGTGAGGCCCTCCCAGGGAGGAGGTGGAGACAGACCTGTGAGACGGGGGGCTTCTGGGAAGGAGCTGAACAGGGCCAGAGCGGGGCAGGACAGGAAGCTATGCAGGCGGTGGCCATGCACAGGTCAAAGCTGAATGCCCTGGGCCCATCCAGGGAGACACCGGGGACAGGGCCTGGGTGAGGAGACCCGGTGGACATCTGTCAACGGCGCCCAGCCCCATGTGACCCAGGCAGGGGACGGACCGTGGGCAGAGCCGGCCTGTCCCTGGTCCAGGGCCAGGGGCCAGGCTCCTGGGCTCCAAGACCTGTGAGGCCCAGAGCTGTGCCCAGGAGCCTGGGGGCTGGCCAAGGGGAGCAGCACTGCTCACATCAGTCAGGATGAAGACTGAGGGTTCGTGTGGAAATTTCCACACTGGAGGCCGTGACACGCACACCTGTCTCCCCTTGTGGGCAGTGCTGTCTGGAAGCTGAGACGTGGAAGGCAGGGGACCTCGTGGGTGGATGTTCCCAGAACCAAGGCAAGGACTTATACGGGGACTTGTACGGCCGCTCACTGATGTGGGGGAGACAGTGTCCAAACCAGCCCCACCGTGGGCCCCAGCTGGCGTCAGCACCCTGGAAGTCCAAAGACTTCAGGAAGCCCCCGGCCACAGTGGAGAGCGTGGGTGCAGTGAGGTCAGGACGTCCCCATGGAGAGGGTGGGTGCAGTGAGGTCAGGACGTCCCCATGAGAGGGTGGGTGCAGTGAGGTCAGGACGTCCCCATGGAGAGGGTGGGTGCAGTGAGGTCAGGACGTCCCCATGAGAGGGTGGGTGCAGTGAGGTCAGGACGTCCCCATGAGAGCGTGGGTGCAGTGAGGTCAGGACGTCCCCGTGGAGAGGGTGGGGACAGTGAGGTCAGGACGTCCCCGTGGAGAGGGTGGGGACAGTGAGGTCAGGACGTCCCCGTGGAGAGGGTGGGTGCAGTGAGGTCAGGACGTCCCCATGAGAGGGTGGGTGCAGTGAGGTCAGGACGTCCCCATGGAGAGGGTGGGTGCAGTGACGTCAGGACGTCCCCATGGAGAGGGTGGGTGCAGTGACGTCAGGACGTCCCCATGGTGAGTGTGGGTGCAGTGAGGTCAGGACGTCCCCATGGTGAGTGTGGGTGCAGTGAGGTCAGGACATTCCCCTGGAGAGTGTGGGTGCAGTGAGGTCAGGACGTCCCCGTGGAGAGGGTGGGTGCAGTGACGTCAGGACGTCCCCATGGTGAGTGTGGGTGCAGTGAGGTCAGGACGTCCCCATGGTGAGTGTGGGTGCAGTGAGGTCAGGACATTCCCCTGGAGAGTGTGGGTGCAGTGAGGTCAGGACGTCCCCGTGGAGAGGGTGGGTGCAGTGACGTCAGGACGTCCCCATGGAGAGGGTGGGTGCAGTGACGTCAGGACGTCCCCATGGTGAGTGTGGGTGCAGTGAGGTCAGGACGTCCCCATGGTGAGTGTGGGTGCAGTGAGGTCAGGACATTCCCCTGGAGAGCGTGGGTGCAGTGAGGGCAGGACGTCCCCATGGAGAGGGTGGGGACAGTGAGGTCAGGACGTCCCCATGGAGAGGGTGGGTGCAGTGAGGTCAGGACATTCCCCTGGAGAGCGTGGGTGCAGTGAGGGCAGGACGTCCCCATGGAGAGGGTGGGGACAGTGAGGTCAGGACGTCCCCATGGAGAGGGTGGGTGCAGTGAGGTCAGGACGTCCCCGTGGAGAGGGTGGGTGCAGTGACGTCAGGACGTCCCCATGGAGAGGGTGGTGCAGTGAGGTCAGGACGTCCCCGTGGAGAGGGTGGGTGCAGTGAGGGCAGGACGTCCCCGTGGAGAGGGTGGGTGCAGTGAGGTCAGGACGTCCCCGTGGAGAGGGTGGTGCAGTGAGGTCAGGACGTCCCCATGGAGAGGGTGGGTGCAGTGAGGTCAGGACGTCCCCGTGGAGAGGGTGGGTGCAGTGAGGTCAGGACGTCCCCATGGAGAGCGTGGGTGCAGTGAGGTCAGGACGTCCCCATGGTGATTGTGGATGGAGTGAGGTCAGGACGTCCCCATGGAGAGGGTGGGGACAGTGAGGTCAGGACGTCCCCATGGAGAGCGTGGGTGCAGTGAGGTCAGGACGTCCCCGTGGAGAGGGTGGATGGAGTGAGGTCAGGACGTCCCCATGGAGAGCGTGGGTGCAGTGAGGTCAGGACACTCCCTGGCCCCGAGTCGGGTGTAGATGGTTGCTTCCCAGGGCAGGAGAAGGGGGTTTGGGTAGAAACCCCAGGGTTCCTGGTGGACTCCCCATTCTTCGTGCTGACAGGTGATGCAACCGTGGCTCCCCACACGCCTTCCTCTGCATGCGGCACCTCCAGGCCGGAAGCCGCCACTCCCAGGCGCGTACACGTGGATTTCAGGCCTTCTCTGAGCGACCGTGCCCAGCCTGGGTTCCTCCTCCAAGCGCGTCGTTGCTGTGGTGCCGGGCGGGGGGCCGGGGAATGGGCTGTGGGCGCTGAGCTGTCCCAGGACCCGCCCGTCTGCAATTGGATGAGTGTTCCCTTTTGCCTCTTTCTTGGCTCAAGTGCCGCCACCAGTGTGGCCGTGACCTGCGGCCCCGGCAGCTCCTCGCCAAGGGCGGGCAGCCAGGCAGCCGCCCCGCTCACAGGTGTGTGTGGAGCCGCCGTGTTTACCTGCACTGCTTTGCAAGACCGGACGAGCAGGAGGCGAGGCAGCAGCCAGGTAGACGTCATCTGCCGCCCGGTCAGGACCTCGGGTGCCTGTGGCTGGGCCTTCCGGGTGTGAAAGTGATGCCTCGAGCCTCTCACTAGTCAGGCAAGAGTCGTGAGGGTGTCTTTATGCGTAAATCCCGGTCACTTTGAATCTGGCTGGTGCTCACCGGAGAGAACGGGTATAAACCCTCAGCTCCTGCAGGCGCCTGGCCCGGAGTTGCGCAGAAAAGCCGAAAGCTCCCCCAGCCCCCGCCACACAGACAGGAGCACGCGGGGCTTCCCCTTGCCCTGCTGAGCCCTAGCACCGCCCTGCACGGTGACCGCAAACCTCTGTCCACTTCCACATGGCTCCCTCGCCGTCCTGCTGAGCCCCCTTGCTCCTGGCTGATAGCTCCCCACTGGGATGGGAGGTGCTACCTGTGTCCCCTGACCCCTTATCTCCACTTAGGGCCGCCAGAGTCGCTTCCCGCCATTTCTGAGGTCAGGGACTCTGCCTGTGGCTGCTGACCCGCCACCTGCTCAGTGCAGGCACCTATGTGGTCAGAATCAGGCGCAGACCGGGACCCCTGCTGTGGGTTTGTGGACCTGTCACAGCATGGGTTTCCTTGCTGGCCTGCAGGTCCTTGCGTAGGCAACAGGTGAGCGCCCCAAGAGGTGCCTGGACCTCCTCCAAGGTGTGGGTGGGGACAGAGACCAAAGTGTGTGTTCATCTGTGAGTCAGGTCCCAGCCCTCCTCAGGGTTTCCGCGAAGGCCTTCCGCTCCGCCTGCATCTGTCCCTCGTTCTCTGTGTATGTGTGTGTGTGTGTGTGTGTGTTTCTCTCTGCCCTTTCTCTGTGTCTCTTAAAAAATTGATGATAAGTCACTCAGCACACAGCTCTTTGTGCCTCGAGAAACAAGGGCTTTCAAGTGTTGGAACACGGAAGTGCCTTTCTCCAGCCACGTGACCGCCAATCCCCTGGGCAGGTCCCTGGGGCGGCTGGTCGCTGCGTGGGGGTGGGGGGCACCTGCAGGCTTGGGGCAGGGCCACCTCGACTGACACGCCATCTGCTCTTCCCTCAGATGAAATCATGCACCAGGACATCGTGCCCCTCTGCGCTGCCGACATCCACGACCAGCTGAAGAAGCGCTTTGCTTACCTGTCCGGTGAGTGCTGGGAGCTGGTGGGCAGCCGGCGTGGCCCTGGCCCTGAGCAGCTCTCTCACCGGGCTGGACCTGGGGACCATTGGCTAAGGGCCCTTCCGCTGGCTTTGGGGTCACTGTGGCATCCCCACGAAGGAGGCAGCTCTGCACTCGTGGGCAGAGGGGGGCAGAGGGAGGGCAGGGCAGAGCAGGCCGGGCCCTGAGACCGTGGCCACGCTGGCCCCAGACTCTCAGGTCCCAGGGCGCAGGTGAGGCAGCGGGCAAGGCGTCATCTGTGGGTTTGTGTGACTGAATGGGTGTCACAATATGAACAAGAACTGGCGCTCGGAGGAGCTCTCGCTGGGACAAGGCTGTGCCGCTTTGGGAGGGGAGTGGTCGCCGTGAGGAGGTGGGGAGAGCGGGTGTCTTCTCCTAAAAAGAGAAGCCCCAGAGCACAGGGCTGTGACTGACCCCAGGCCAGGGCCGGTGCTGGGCTCTCTGCCAGCTCCTGCCCACTCCCAACCTCTTCAGCCCCATGAAGGCACACGGACTTGGTCCTGCCCTCACCCCGTTCTCCCGGGCGGTCCCCCACTCAACCCAGTGTGCCCCCTTCTTCAGGTCACCCACCAAGCAGCAGTCCAGGAGCTCTGAGCTTTGCAGGTGGAGGCTCCGAATGGGCTGAGTGTCCTTGTTGGGCCTGACTGGACCAGCTGAACCCGTGGAAGGCCCCAGAGATCCAGTGAGAAAGAGTCACACGGCGGAGACTCAGTCTCGCTGACAGTGGAGAAGGCCACGTGGCGAGGCTGTGGCAGCCCCTGGTCCCGAGAGACCTCAGCTCACTTGCAGCCAGCACGGATGCAGGACCTGGCGATGAGCCAGGATTCTCCACTCCTTTTGTCAACTTCCCCAAGCACTCGGGAGCCCTTCCCAGCTCATGAACCCTCTCCCACTCTTTTCTTGTTAGTCTGGGCTCACCTGTTTTCTTAGTGGCGTAGGGTTTCGTGTGGCTGAACTTCCATTCTCAGATTGGCTCTACCTAGGACACTCACCTTGGGGCTCAACCTGAGGCCCTGTCCACCAGCAGCTCCATGTCCCTGCTAGGCGGACACCTGGGATGAGCCACGGTCACAGGCCCTGCTCCAGGGGCCCTCCTGCCAACACCGAGAAGCAGAGATGCTGTGGAGAATTCAGATTCAGGATCAGGCCTGTGGCTTCCTGGTTTCTGTCTGGACACAGCTGCCGGAAGCTGGAGGCTGTACGACTATGGTCTGCATGCTGTGTCCTATTCCCCTGTGGGGTGGCACTAGGGGAAGGGACCTCAGGAAGGTGATGAGGGCATGAGGGGGCCCAGGAGTGGATCTGAACTTCTGTGAGGGGTGGAGGAGCCCAGAGTGCGTCCTTCCACCAACAGACGGACCACTGTGACCTGGGAGGAGGCCTCATGGACACTGGATCCACAGGTACCTTGACCTTGGATGTCCAGCCTCCAGCACCATGAGAATGGCATTGCTGCCTTTGGCAAGGCACTGCTCTTGGTCTTTGTGTTGTCACAGGCGGATGGACTAAGACTCCCAGGCATGAACATACAATCACTGTTACAAACCGCTGTCTTGACGAGGGCTTTCTGACAGTGTGAGGATTCCTGTCTTATTAGTACACACTTCAGAGAGATCCAAGATTGCTGAAGAGGGAGACGTCACACTGACCTCAGCCACAGAAAAACAAAGGAGGGACCATGTGTCCAAGGCACTGATTGAAATTTTCAGTGGAGAATGGACGGAACAGAACAGAACAGAGATTCCATGGAATGGTGAGGAGACAGGACAGACACACAGCCACTGGCCACATGCCACCAGTGACTCCTGAATGTTCACGGAGCCTAGCTGGGAAGCGCCGTCTTCCCAGGTGCGGTGACAGGAACGTGCTGCAGCCCTTACCAAGGGTGGCTTTGACTTGGGGAGAGTGCTGCCGTCCTCGCTGGGGAACTGGCAAGGGCTGATGCCACGTGGCTTCCTCCCGCCCACCAGAGCACCAGTCTCCATGTGCTGTGGTGGAGCTGCAGCCATTCTCTGTCCTGACTCAGCAAACGGTGGGCGACTCCGGCAGGGACAGGCAGCTCCCAGAGTGAGTGCAGACCCCCTGCCCCGTGTGACTGTGTTCTGGGCATAGGCCACGGAGCTGAGGGGACATGGGTTGGTGGGGGTCGCTTTCCCCCATGTGTTCTGACTGCAGAGCCTCAGAGTTAGTTCCCTGTGCACTGGGGACTTGTGGGTCTCTGCTCTGTGGAGTGTGTGTGCCTGGGTGAGTGGTACACAGGTGCTGTGAGCTCACTCTAGGAAGTGAGTCAGCTGGTTCCCCTTAGCACAGAGAAGGGATGGGACTGTGACTACACCAGTCAGCTCCAACGTCCCTCCCTGTATTGACTGTAGACAGAGGTGTTGTACCACACCCAACTTGGATGTCAGTCTAGCCTCTTACCCACCACAAACAGTGGCCAGAGCTCCTGGCCCTACCCAGAACACACCACTGGAAGGAACTCTAGCGTAAGTCTCAACCCTGAGAGGAACATTTCCAGGAATAAAGCCTTCAGTCAAAAATAAATGAATAAAGAGGAGATAACAAGTGATCTCCCAGATGTGTAACAGAAACATGAACAAAAAAGGCAATACAGCAACACGACTCCCCAGAAGGAACACACTCACACTCATTACTGAACTGTGAAGAAGGGAAGATTGACGAAAATACCCGAAAAGCAATTCAGAAGAATTATTGTGAGGTTACTCAAGAGTACAGAGGAACGGTCACGTGAAATAAGGAAACCGCACACGACGCAGGCGAGAAGTTCTCCAAAGAGCGATACTGAAGAAAAATCAGACAAATGTTAGAAATGAATTACTCAATCATTCAAACCAAAAATGTAGTGGAAAACCATAACAACAGACTCAGTGAGGTAGAAAAAGAATATCGTATTTAGAAGACAGTTGTTTTGAAATATCTCAGAGGAAAAAAAAGAAAAAAATTAGAAAGACCAAAAACAGTGTTTTATCTAGGGATACCATCAAATGACCAAATATATGAGATTTGAGAGTTCCTGAGGTTTAGATGAAAAGACTGGCTTGGAAAATGTAATTCAGTGGAATAATAGCAGAAATTTTCCCCACCTTGGAGAAGGATATGGACATCCAAATACAGGAAGTACATAGAATCCCACATAAGTGTGATCGGAAAAGACCCGCACCATGACACGTTATAGCCACATTTTCGAAGCTAAACATAAAGAGAATATCCTAAAATATGCAAGAGATAAGTGCCAAGTCACATTTAAAGGATCTCCCATTAGATTAGCAGATTTCTCAACAGAAACCCTAGAGGCCAGGAGACTGATATAGTCCAAGTCCTCAAAGATAGAAACTGACAACTCAGAGCACTTTATCCAGGGAAGCTCTCATCCACAAATGGAGGTGAAATACAGACCTTCCAGGACACACAAAATTTAAAGAATTTGTCACCAACCAGCCAGCCTTACAAATGAAACTTAAGGACACCAGCACCAGCCCCTTGTACTTCCACAGGAAAGAGAAAGACATTCAGCACCATGAAGGAATGTGAAAGCAGAAAACCTCCCAGTAACAGAACAAAGGACAGTCAAAACCAATGAAAAGAATTTTCATGGAAAAATGGCAGGACCAAGTCATTACTTATCAGTAATAATGTTGAGTGTAAATGGACTAAATTTACCAATTAAAAGATACAGACTGGTTGAATGCATAAAAAAAGAAGACTCATCATTATGATGCAAGAAACTCATTTCACCACTAAAGATACACAAAGACTGAAAGCGAAAGGAAAGAAAAAGATATTCCGCAAATGGAAATAAAAAACAAGTAGGAGTAGCTACTCATATATCAGAAAGACTTCAAAACCAAAACTGTTAAAGAGACAAAGAAGGTCATTATGTAATGATCAAGGGGTCAATTCAATAAGAAAATGTGATGATACTAAATGGTGTATACACCCAATGCAGGGCACCCAGTTTTATGAAACAAATGTTATTGGATAGAAGGGGAGACATAAACTCCAATTCAATAACTATGGGGGGCTTCAACACATTTTGATCAACAGATCAACCAGATATAAAATCAATAAAGAAACAATAGAACTAATCTACACTGTAGACCAAATCAGCCTAGTAGATATCTAGAGGACATTTCATCTCACAGTTGCAGAATACACATTCTTGTAATCTGCATGGAATATTCTCTAAGATCAACCATATATGAGGTGGCCATAAAACAAGTCTGAACACATTCAAAAACTGGAAATCACATTGTGTGTCTTTTCTTACCGTAGTAGACTCAAGCTGGAAATGAACAACAAAAGAAACACTGGAAAATACATAAAGACATGGAGACTGAACAACATGCTCCTGAATGAACAGTGGGTCATAGCAGAAATCGAAAGAGCAATTAAAAAGTTCCTTGAAACAAATAAAAATGAAAACATATAAAAACTTATATGTACAGCAAAAGCACTGTTATGAGGAAATTTTATAAGCAATAAGTACCATCATAAATTGGGAAGTAGCAAATAAATGATCCATCAATGCATCTGAAAGACCTAGAAAAACAAAAACCAAACCCAGAAATTAGTAGGAGAAAAGAAATTTTAAAAATAATAAACAAGGGGCTGGTGCTGTGGTGTAGCAGGTAAAACCACCACCTGCAGTGCCGGCATTCCATATGAGCACCTGTTCAAGTCCCAGCTGCTCTACTTCTGATCCAGCTCTCTGCTGTGGCCTGGGAAAGCAGTAGAAGGTGGCCCAAGTCCTTGGGCCCCTGCACCCACGTGGGAATACCCAAAAGAAGCACCTGGCTCCTGGCTTTGGATCGGCACAGCTCTGGCCATTGTGGCCAATTGGGGAGTGAACCAGCATATAGAAGAACCCCCCCCCCCCTCCACTCTGCTCTCCTTCTCTCTCTGTGTAACTCTGACTTTGAAATAAATAAATCAATCTTTAAAAAATA